GACTGTGTAGGTTAACGTGATACATTGCTCAACTTCATTTTTGACATTTCTAACTAATATACCTAGCTACTGTACTTTAATCGTGCGTTAGGTATTAACGCAGCGTTATGGTAGCATCCTCTTCTCTACACTCAAGACTGTTTTGGATAAAGGTGCGATAAGAGCGTGGGTGTATCCTAATTGAAATTATTCTGAACCGAGGAACAAGCTCTTGGTCACTTCAATAGGTTAGAGTCAAATACCGATAGGGCTCATATAAGTATGTGCCTTCTGCTTGCCGCTCCTTCCGTTTAAGCAATTTTTATTGCAAATGCAAAATTTTCAAAAGTTGCTTAAATTTGTTTTCATATTGTTTTTTTTTAATATTTTTTTCATAAATATTAGCATAGTTTCTGTTATAATATTTCTATATAAAAGTTTCACAAACACATACAAGCAATATTATTGAAGTTTCGTTTTCTTTAAGTTTTTTTTTTATTTTATTTTTATAAAATTAAAATAGTTTTTATAATTTGTTTGTAGATTGTAGATTTTCTCTCAATTTTCCTAACACAATTTACTTATTAAATAATAAAATAAAGTTATGTATTATAAATAAAAGTTTTAAATTTATATCCCTTGTGTACATTTTTTTCATTATTTCATAAATTAATAAAATATGTTATTTGTAACTTATAACTAATTTTTTGTATTAAAACTTTTTTGATCTTTATTGTTAGAATTTAAAATATAATTTCTATTGGACTTTGTTGTTAACACAAACTATATAGGTGTTCAGTTTACTCAAATCTAAAATTACGCTACAATTAAAAATTATGTTTTTCAAATAACATATATGACAAATCCTAAATTGTGAGCTTGTCATTGTTATTTAATACGTGTGTAAGTGTTGAACATATGTATATCCAAAGTGGTCTTTTGTGTCTTGAATTATTAGGCTGGGTATTATGTCTATTGGCGTTTTCAATTGGTAAATCTGGATTTACTCTCGATCTATCAAATTTTGTTGTTCAATCGATCAACAACTTTTTTAAAGCAATCTAACATTTTCTTAGTCGTGTTAGTAGACATTTACATTTTTTACGAAAACATATATCGAGTCAAATCACAGTGTAATTTCAGTGTAATCTTGCTACTCTCGAAAAAACATTTAGAGTGTTATAAATTAATCTCAAGTGTTATACATTTTACCCCAGATTTATCAATTGAAGATAAAATTGCACTAAAAGTGCATTAAAAGAGCATCTCGATTAAAAGAATTACTCCGAATTTATCAATCGAAAAACGCCATATGTAAACTTATAATAAAATTATTTTAATTATTTAAATAAGAATAATAAAATGATATAAATAATGTTAACTTTTACTGTGTCATTGGAGTTTATTTGAAACGTTTAGAATTTTCAAAACATTTTGGATTGTGGTAGTGACTTCAAATTATAATTAAAACAATTGAAATGGGGAAATAAAATTTGTGGTGTTGAATTGTTGGAGATATGTATTATTCTTTTAATTCATATTAATTAATAGAGCATAAAAATATATGTTCATATATCTGATTGTTTATGAAAACATAATGTGGCATCATATCAATTAATAGGTTCAATATAAAGTTAAAATTAGATTTCGGAAGTCAAATTATTTGAGAAGCACCTAAGACATACTTTTTATATTTCCCTTTTAGTATCAGCTTTTTCACTGGAAATGTCTTCTATATAATTAACCATAAAAGTTTTGTTTTTTTTTCCACAAAAATCTTTTTTTGAAACTATTCTTAATTTTTTTATTTTTTGTGTGATTTGATGTTGTTAGCTGACATTACTACTTTTGTCTATTTTAGGTGAGAGATCACTTCAATGCCAGAAGGTTAAACACCTTCTTAAGCCGTATATATCATTGAACTTGTATTCTGATAACTTTCCAAATATAATTGACTGTTCTAACATATTATTCTGTTATTCGAAAATTTTGTTGATCGATTTGCGAGTTGCAATTATTGAAATTTTTTACTAAAATAATATAACATTCATTTTTTGATATTGATGCATATATATGTATATATTTTTCATATTTCGTATAAATGAAACATATTTCATAGTAATTTTATTATTTGAGTCTTACATTCCAAAAGACGATAACCCTATACGATAACCGCATAAACTATTCTTTGATTCCAATAAGCTTACGAAATAAACTTAAGTGTAATATAATTATTATACATGCTTATAACCAAATATTATAATTTTATGTGAACAGAAATTTAATCATACCCTTTACCAAATAAAATAACTAAACAGCATTAACAAAATTATAAAAAAATTCAAAATATACATTTAAATACATTTTTATATTCTGGAAGCATAAGTTTGTTATGGTCTTAATTCGGTCAAATTTTGCTTGATATATTGCATTAAAGATTTTGCCAAATACTTTATAATTATTATCACGTAAAAATTGTAAGTTTGAAATTAATTGTTATATTCTTTTGTTTGGCATTGGCATTGCTTTTAAACAATTTATAAGGTAGTTCTTTGGAGATCAAAAATCTTTAAAATTACAAATAAGTAAAATTAAAGTGTGATATTAAAATGATTGAATTTATATATTCGAATTTAATATTTGCGCTTCCAATCACACAGATGCAAGATTATTTATTCATTATTGATTCAAAATAATAATATATATAATTTATATATTTATGAATTACATACATTATAATTGTTTGCCTTTAAAAGTATATATATATATAAATTTTGTAATTTAAAGGCATGTATCACAATGGCCGAATTAGCATCTAAATATACTGTTTCGAACAGCTATTGGAAAATAAAACAACAAGATAAGTTGCTCTACATACTCATAATACATACATGAACCGTCGCATAAAAGTTATAAATTAAAATATACAAAATTTGACCTGCCTTAAGCAACACCAAACTTAATACTTTCGAAGATACATAACTTAAGGCTAAAGTGGCATATAATAATGAAATGTTATTTTTATCAGCATTAATGGCTCCAAAATAAAATTAATTATTAATAAAATACTTATCGCTACATAAATATGGTAATTTGTTTCATTAAGTGTGCTAATATAAAATAGTTTTCCGACTTTCAAATTATTATAACATATGTAAAATATTAATAAAACTATGATCAAACTTATATTTGTTATAGAACTAAGATTAATCCAGGATTTGTGAGGCTTTAAAATAAATTGTTTCAATATTTGCTTATAACTAAATTGCTGCTAAAATGATTTACATACAACTTACTAAATTAAAATTTTGGTTTAAGGGAGCACGTGTGGAATATGTGTACATTAAAATTTGTATAAGTTTTTGCTTTCGTGTTTTGATCTCAAGATTTCATTAAAGCTCTTTTGGTATTTGGAGTAGTATAATGGTAGGAGTAGTTGGGGAAGTACTAGGATTGTTAAAAACTTATAAATATTGTTTATTCGTATTAGTTGTCTGCATTTGAATGTCTGTTCCGCTTTTAAAATTTCAGCAGCAACAGGTATTTTATATATTATATTACTACATGCTGATATTTATACACAGATGCAAGCATAAGCGGAATAAAAAATGGGTTCAAATCGGAAACTTTGGCATGAAAAATAAAAAATCAAATTTAGTAGAACCCATTTTTCGAAACTATATGAGAGACGTACATGTGCTGTGTTTTCTTTAGAATTGAGTTTTGAGTTAATTTGTTTGCAATAATATTTACAATTAAAGGTAGCTAAGTTACAGGACTCACTATTTATATTTTTATATTAATTTTTGTATCTACTATATGGTGACCTGCTATATACTGTTTTGTATATATTTCTTATAAAAAGTTAAATAGTACAAGAGTGTTTTAAGTAACATATTAAAAATAGTCTTCATATAAAATATTGAGTATGTGTGAGTTATAAACTGCCTCATACATTGAGAATAAATCTTAAAGAGTAGAAATCTGAAAACAAACACAATTTGAGAAGTATGCCAGAGGGGACGCGGGTTGCAATGCTGGTCACCTATAAAAACTTGCAGCCAGGATTTTTAAATGCACGTTTTGAAAGCTTCAGGAAAAAGCCTAAATTAGTTATTGATGAAATGAGTAATAATAAGGCCAGAACTACGTCACAACACTAACTTAGACCTTACTAAGACAATAGATGACTTTGAAGAACTTGTCTTCTTCACAAGTAAAAAGATTGTTAAAAGTCTTTGTCTATTTATTGCCAAATGTCTATTCTCTAATTGATCAATAATATTTAATTTTGTGTCAAAAAATGGTTTAGAAGTAGTATTACGGTACATGTATTAACATGCGATCCAGGATCATCTAATGTTTTCCTGCTTTGAGGTTACTTCAGAAAAAACATTTTTTATTTCAATAATTTAGAAATGTATCAGTGAAATGCTAATAAAAATACAAACCAAATCAAAACAAAAATAATAAGGTTTCTGATTTGAAATCAAAAATCGAATTCGAAAAATCTGACTTAAAAACATGTACGCCCGTAAACATGCATATGCAGTAAAAAAACAGACAAAAACAACTAAACAAATATTTATTCCCTATATTTTCGTTAATAATAAATTCTCTTAAGCACTGATCAAATTAGCAAACAACGAAAAAAGTTATTTGAGATAATCGTTTTGCAATTCAGAACAAAAATCTTAAAGAGGATGAAGTGCTGTTTGAGTGAAAAAATGTTGCCAGCAGTAGCAACTTCATACCATAATTTTCTTGTACGCAGAGATTACTACTCTTTAAAATTTATACTCAATGCTTTATAGTTTTTTTTATATAACTTACATATTAATTACTAAAACTAAAACTGTCCTAATCTTCCTTAATATGTTTTACTTCTACTTCGGCTTGATATTCGAATTGATTTCTTCGAAATGTTGGGATTTTGGAATATTTTGCACTATTTGGACTTGTAAGATTGTTTGCACTTAAAACTACTTGTTTTTCTGTTCTTCTTTTTTTTTTTGCTTCATTTAAGCAAAGTACATAACCTTTTTCGTATCTGCATGTACAGTTATAGCTCGGGCCATAGCTCCAGGAGTACGATCTTCAGAGCAACCACTTTGGTGCGAACCTTCACCAGAATCATGTTCCTTTTCTACCAAGTGATATCTGCAAAAACATTTAATTATATATTAATTATTAACGTCAATACCAATTATTTAAACTTATTATATATTCCATAAGATACATTTTTTATGTTATGTTAATTCCAACTCCGAGTTGTGAACAGTACTTAGTCGTACATGGCTTCAACTGGCGTCAAGAATGCCATTTGTCGTATACAAGGTGAGATGAAAAAACTGCAACCAACTTCAGACTGCTGTCATTTCTAAACCGCTCGTCCCACAGCTGTCAGATTTATTCTAGTGACAGCTCATTATATTGTTTACAAGCGCACAAAAGCATTTTGGTGGGAATTTTTCAGAAAAAAAGTTATTTGTGATGGAATTCAAGCGTGATAGTGTGATTGCTTTGCATTTGGCTGGAAAACCACAAGTGGCTATCGTTAGAGCCCTCCAGCATTTAAAAGTGAATAAATGTTTTGTGTCTCGTACCATCGCTCGTTACTATGATACTGGTAGCGTAGCCCGACGTCAAGGAAGTGGACGAAAAAAAACAGCAACATCGGCAGAAATGGTTCGAAAAGTGAAGAAGCTAATTGAACGAAATCCGCGTCGCAGTGGACGAAAAATGGCTCGTGAGCTGAACATATCGCAATATGCCATTCGGCAAATATTGAAAAATGAGCTTGGACTAAAGCCATTCAAGTTCCAAAAAGTGCAAGATCTTACTGATGCGCAAAAAAAAGTTAGACTCGAAAAAGCTAAAGAGTTGCTTCGCTTGGCCGAAAGTGGTAAACTGCCGAATTTGGTTTTCTCCGATGAGAAACCATTCGTTATCCAGCAGTTTGTAAACAAACAAAATGATCGTGTTTACTTGCCAGAGAGGTCAGCTGAAAATTTGCAACTTCTGTTGGCCACCACAACTCAAAAGCCGGCCATGGTGATGGTGTGGGCCGCCATAACAGCCGATGGTCGCTCGCCGCTCGTATTCATCGACCGTGGGGTCAAAATCAATGCGCAAATCTATCGCGAAAATATTTTGGAGGGAGTTCTGAAGCCCTGGGCACGCAAACATTTCGGCCGCAGACCTTGAACATTCCAACAGGACTCAGCACTATCGCACTCAGCACGCGCCACCCAAGAATGGTTAAGAAATGAGGTTCCTCGCTTCATTTCCACCGCACAATGGCCACCAAAATCTCCGGATGCCAATCCGTTGGACTATTGTGCCTGGGGTATTTTGGAAAGCAAGGTTGGCACTAAAAAATACCAAAGTGTCGATCATCTCAAGCAAGCGCTTCGCCGAGAATGGGACAAAATACCACAGAGCCACTTTCGGGCAGCGTGTGATGGTTTCATTGGCCGTTTGAAGGCCATAGTTCGTGCCAAAGGTGGCCAATTCGAACAATTCTAAACCGATTCTCAAATTTGATGTTATTTCCGACATTTTTTGCTTTCATTCAATAAAATTTAAAAAAAATGAAAAAATTATGGCGTTTTACTTTGTTGCAGTTTTTTCATCTCACCTTGTATATCTAACAATTGTGTTTTGTGTACTCACCTAGCTCTGAAGGCAACCAGATGAGCATAATAAGCGGGTGCTGGTATTGATACAGAACGTGTGCATCGCACGTAGGTGTGGCATAATTGATATGTGAGACATTGGAGCTCATCAGAATCGAAGTGATTGTCATCCCAAAGAACATGGTAATGAGATGGTCTGCTAGTACCCTGGATAACACAAAATGTACCGTACATTATTTAAAGTTTTCATTTTAATCACATATGAAAAACTTACTTGTATACCCTGGTGACTGCAAAGATAAAAATCAAATTCTGTGGGATGTGTAATTCCGACATCCACTGTAGTTCCAGCTGGTATATTACCAGATTTACCACTTTGTTCTTTTTTCTCAGCACAAAATAGACGTGTATGATGACGTTTCTGTACGACTATAAAAGTTATACCAGGACGATATTCAGCCTCTAATTTAATGCATGCTTCACGTATAGCCGTCAATTCGTATTGTAATACATGCGGAAATTGACCTTCAGAGACACCGTCACGATATAAAATAATACGATGTGGTTTGTAGCCACCAGTTGATTTGTAGAACATAACAAGTAATTCACGCACCATACTGCTTAACTCCTGTATGATTTCTTGACGATGTTGTTGTACACGTACTGTCGCTGCATAACGTGAAGGATGAGCATCCATTGAGCCGACTACAGCAGCAATAGAAGGTTTTTTATTGTCACCAGCCGGTGGGTGAGTAACATCAGCGCCCAAAAATATTACAGGCTCGTTAAAGACTTTTGGACGTATGGAGGGTACAAGTATTGAGTTAATGCCACCTAATTTAACATTGATTTTGAGGCAAAGATTTGAGAGAGTTTGTGGTGAAGTTTTGTTCACATTTTTGGCTTGAACGCATTGTGTTGCCATGCCGAGCACAGTATCGCCAACGCGTTTTACTTCAGCTATTATTAGACAAATTATATAAATTAAATCTAAGCGTCATATTAGAAATTATATGTTTATTACCATATACTGGTGTTTTTCCGGGTAACACAACAACAACCAATTGTAATGCTACAAATGAATTCTTTAAGTATCTAAACATTGGTTCCACTTGATCAGGTCCAGTAGCATATTTACAGAAGCAAGGTTGCCCAATTATCGGCATGCCAGCATCATTCGAGATCTTTTGTAATTGTTGGGTGAAATTTCGTAGAGCATCTTCACGCACCGTGCGCTGTGGTGCAAAGCAAGCTATGGCCCAAACACGTATCTCTACGCCAGTAAAAAACTGCTTACCGCGCATATCCCATACTCCTTGATTGGGTGACGCTAAACTGACTTTGTTTTGAGGCGGAAATAGTTGCTATTTTAAAAATTAATGAGAAGTGAATTAATAACAAGATATATATTATTTAGAAATTGAAATAGAACTATATAATAACACTGAGTAGTTGTTTAATCCTTTTCACTCACCTGTCCTGTCATGCTTGATACACGACCACCATACTGCAGCTTTGGAGGTGGTAGCACACGACCACGTACTTCCATCATAGAATTTGAAATAGTCAAACCAAATTCTTGCACATAAGAATCATTGTTAAAATCAGCACGTTTCACTAATGTATTGATTTCACGCTCTCGGTCAGGAGCTGACCTCGCTGTAGCTTTGATCATAGTAGAAGTTTGCATATCAGTGAGTTTTTTGATGCAACGCTGACCTGCAACTATATTGCAAACTTCCAACGGCAAGTAAGTGTGTTTGTGCTCTTGGCCTACTTGTAAGCACGGTAAATGTGGATAGCGCAGTTTTATACGATATTTATCGAGGAAGTACTTTGCAACTGTGCATTCAACTGTTTGTCCGTTCTCCAGCTGTAAAGGAAATCTAAAATACAAAATATATATTAAAAATTGTTAAATATAATAAACATAAATAATGAAAAATATATTTAAATCTTACGATTGCATTTGTGCCGGTCGACGTGTTACATTGCAAACACGATATTTCCTACGCATTTGCCCACAATGGGTTATTTCTATTTTGAGTCCCTTAATTTCTTTAGTAAATTTAACACGCTGTGAGTCGGTAAGTGGTTTACGTTGTTCGTTTATGTCTCTGATATCGAGAACTTCACACATAAAATCGATTACGGGTTGAGCTTTATAAAAAGCGGTAGCAGACACTGAAATGTATATGTATATATAAAGATACTTATAAATTCGTTGGACTAAAAGCATAGGTGAAAATGTACTAACCGTCAATATTTAGCATCATTTTCCACTGCGACGGACGCACACTTTGGTGAAAACCAAACCAAACTTCACGTCCACCACCTAAAGGATGATAGTACCCATCAGGAGAACTAAAGAAACTTCTTCCGACAGGTGTATATGTCATGCTTGGCAAATGCCGCATCACTACATCAAGCGCCAATATAGCATCATAGGGTATCTGACGTGTGCGGCCTTCAAGGGCTTCCTCCAAATTAAAAAGCGATACTTGAGCCATCCATTTTATAGTAACGCGAAAAATGCGATCTTTACCCTCGCCAGGTAACGTAACTTCGAGTTCCAAGCGGTCATTACCAATAGGTAATGGATCACGTGTGTATAAATTATTTCGACCATCAAAGACTGGCTTCAGCACACCAAATATTTTACTATATGCATGTACCATAGTTTCTATAATTTCCCGATTCACTTTTCTTGGACATTTATCCGGTTGTATATTGATGTCATAGTGATGCACATAGCCGCGTGGCATAGTGACTTGAAAATGATTGGCACGCAATACAATCGGTCGACCCTCACGTCCCAGATTTGGTCGTCGTGGACATGTAAATACTGGCAGTTCTGGTTGCGTTGTGGGCGTCGTCGCTGCAGCTGCAGTTACGGTGGCCGCAGCACCCAAAGCTGCTTGAGCAGCAGCTGCCGCTGCTGCACCGCCCACAGTGGCACTGCCAACGGCAACATTTTGTGCACTCGGGCTGGTCACTGCGGTGGGATTCACTGAAGAACCAGGTGCTGGTGGTGCTAAAATTTTAAATAATCATTTCATTAAAATTTATTTTTTAATCATTTACATAGAACAAACTATTCATTACAAAGAAAACTTTCAAACATTTTAATGCAATACAAATGATATCGTTTATTGAAATAATCAGTAAATTTTTGTATAGTGTACACTATGCTGTCAGTTTGGGGGAGATTAAGTTTCTGATAAGTCTAATACTGATATCAGGCAATAAAGAAAATTGGGACTTTTTTTAGAACTTTAATCGTTCGAAAATATTGTATTACCTACCTAAAAAGCGTTTTATTCATGTTTTTTTTTTTTTTTTTGAATTTCTAATATAAATTCAAAGATGTTAAAGATTTATTTATACTGTTATATATTAATTTAACATTATTTAGCACATTTAGCAAACGAAAAGTTATTAATATTTTATCTCTGAAATCTTACAGTTGCTTTATACTTCATAGTAAAAAATATTTCATCTTTCATGTTTCAAGTGCATCGATAATTTATTAGGAGAATCATCAGATCTCTCTGACACGTACAATCGAACAAAGTTGAAGGGAGTTATTTCATTATTATTCTGATTGCATAATAAAAAAATTTTAAGCAAACAGAATGAGTTTTTCAGTGAGATAATCATGTATTTCTATTTGCTCTAGGCAAGATTGCAGACTTGTTACTACCATATGTATCAAGGTAAAAGAATTGTCTTGACAAACGGGTAGACGGTTAACCCTATGACCTATATTTTGACTTTTACAGCATAGTGTATTATAATTTAAGTACAACAATAACAAAGCAAAAATTACTTCTACATTGAAACTTTTGATTTACTTCTTAATTAAACATGCGTTCAGTTTAACATAGGAAAAAAAGAGGTAAACGTGTCTTGAACGGTTAGAGTACTTAATGTAAATTATATTTATACATACGAATATAATTAAATTATAATCTACTTTAACAGTTTTTTAATTAAATTGATGTCTAAACTTAAAAGAAATCGAACTTAAGAACAGTATTTACAACAGTAACAGTCGAGTACTTTCAAGTGTGTTAGTTCCTTAAACAATTCCATACTTTACTTTTCCAATACATTCCAAATCATACCCAATTTCTTAGCATACAAACAAAAACAAAAATATACAATAGAAATATAAATGAATATAGTAAAATAACTCAAATTTGTTAAACTCAACACAAATAATAAAACAAAACTAATTAATTTTAACAATTTTAACAATTTTAAAAATTTTAAAAATTTTATAAATTTAATTCCGATTTTGTATAAAAATTTACATGTGAGTGTGTCGAAGCTAGTCTGCGCCTGAGAAGGGCTTTGAGGTCGAGTAGGCGAGGGAGTCCATTGTGATTCTATAAAAAGAAATTTAAAAAAACAAAATGAAAATAAAAATATAAAAAACGAAAACCAAAAAATAAATAAATGGAATGAAAAAGAAGAGATAAAAAAATAAGTGTATATAAAAAATCAACAAAAAATATGCCAATATAACAATTTGTAAAACAAAATAAATAAAATTAATTAATTAAGTGAAGAAAAAGTAAAAGTAAAATTTGTTATTTATTAATAAAATGTTGACTGTTGCTTTTTAGTTTCGATTTAAATGCGATATTTTATATATTAAGCATTGAAATTATTATTTTGCATTATGATAATATTAAATATGTTAAAATATTTCAATTTTACAATTTACAATTTTTCTTAATGTACGATAAGATAAAACCTGAACTCGTATCTGCATTCGCAGTTATATAAACTATACAGCAAGAAATGCACAGTACAATTATATACATTATATATGTATATACAGATAGATTAGCCAATATTTACCACAACCAGTCACCAAGTGAATATTGATATTAAAAGTTCTTAACGGATTCGCCCTTGAAATGTAGAATTGCCATAGAAATTTTAAAGAAATATATTCAAAGAAGTTTTAGATATACATTTGTAAAGAAAGAATCTTAGTTATAAGTGGTACTCAACAGCAGAAATTCATATACATAATCTTCAAACTTTTATGGAGTAAACAATCCAAATCTTATATAATTCAGTCGTGGAAAAACTATTTCTGGTTGACCTAATATTGGGATATTGAATCAATCCCTATTAAATTCCATTTATATCAACTTTATTATGTACAGTAATAAGAAAAAAAAAAACTTATCATGAAAACAAAAGAAAGAGTTGCATTAAGTACAGCCTTGCTCTTCCTTCAATACTTTTCCAGTCATCATAGTTAATTCTAAGTTCTCATAACTGTTTCTCATTCATTGACACCGAGTTGTCTTTAAATAAGTGTTTATTCCATCAAATCAGCTGAATCGGTGATGGTTTTTTTCGCCCGTTATCCATTCGAATTTAGTTGATAGGAGTATTAGTCGTGCTAAAAATTCAGTCCATCTTAAATTCTATAAATTCATATAAACTTATAACCCCGTATCTTAAACAGAACTTGTAGCTTTGTTCTTATTCGTTATTGTCATATTTTAAGTTTAACGAGACTAGCAATTCTTCTAATAAACACAGAATTTCACAGATTTTCAAACTTAGTATGATAAAACTATATCATCATTCTTATTTGGATTTGGATTAGAACTTTGTTATAATGTCAAGAATATTTGTCGGAATAACTGATATTGGTTGGTTCAATCCCATACAGTTAAGAAGTGATATAATGATCAGTTCAAAATGCGAATAAAGGAAAACGTGCATGACAGAAGACAAAATATTCACGAGATAATAAGTTACTGATATACGAACAAAAATTATTCAAATTCATTATTTGATATAATTAATTATTTTTAATAAAATAACTTTGGAATACTATATTTATTTAGTTTAGATCTACAGGATAAAAAATTTTATTTGAACATTCTGTGAAGCCTAGCATGTTGTTTTATTATAACAATAATCAGTAAAGAAATAATCTTAACGAAATAAATAAAACGTTTATTGATGACTCACTTTTTATTGATAGTTGTAATCAATTTCAGCTGAAATAGTCACTGAGATAGTACAGTACCTTTTGCAATAGTACAAACTTAAAACCAAATATAATTTATGAAAATGTAGTGTTTTATTCCTGAAAAAAGTCTACTAAGCTAACCGGGATGTTTCACTTTGTATTTTCCAAGACTCAGAGTTGTTGCTGCCTATACTTCAATGTTTAGAAGACTAGAGTTAACGTAAGTCCTACCAGTTTTAAAAGTCAGAGGGTGGCTGACGAACATTGCAACAAAATGAAATGCTCTATTTTGTTAAATTTAATGGATTATAAATGAAAATACGCGAAATGAACTTTAAATTATGGTTCATTATGAATGACCACCTCTAACATTAATTATGGCCTTCAAACAGCCAAACAGAAGCTATCGTATGCTGTCCGTAAATGGCTTTGCGGTATTTTGGACTATTCTCAGATTAGTGCTTGCTTCAGATGATCGACATGTTGATATTTTTTAGTGTCAACCTAACTTTTTAAAATACCCCAGACCGAGAACTCTAAAGGGTTTATATCAGTTAAACCCGATGGCTACGATGGCTACTGTGTTGATGGAATAAAACAAGGAACATTATTTTTCAGCTACTCTTGGTTGACGAGTGCTTTGTGCAATGATACTGAGTGCTGTTGGAATGTAGAACGCCTGCGATCGAAATCTCAGCATCTCGTTTTTAAACGCCTGTAGTGTGAATGAGACTGAATTTTACGATTTCATAGCAGCTTGATTGTCTGATAGTTTAAATATATTCCCATTATATATTTATATAATGTTAAAATATAAAAATATGTTTTTAAGATATATGTTTATAAATGAAAATAATACTTGGATTCGCAACGCAAGAGTCTACAGGATATATTGAAATAATTAAATTGTTTAATTGCTAAATTGCTAAACGGTTACAAAGTCAAGAATTCTAAAATTAAATGAAGTTAAAACCATTATCTCATCATTAAGTTATATTAAATTGAAACATTTTATCCATATATGGTATATGCAAGTACATAGAAGTAAAAGTATCTCTCATTTGATATTATTCAATTTGAACAATTTGAAAATTAATTGTTTTTGGAAAAGTGATTTTTATACAATAATAATTAAAAATGATCGAAATGAGAATCGCAGATACAATGGAAAATGTACACGATGAAATAAAAACTCTCATCTACGTGTTCGAAAAAGATACAAAACAAATCATAAACGACGCAATTAAACGTTTTGCTTCAATTTCAGAAATAAAAACGACAAATAAAAATATGAGAACGCAATTGGATGGAATGAAACTGACGACAGACGACAGACAACAGATACGCGCGACATTGACGGTCGTTGACCCAATTTCGACTAGAACGTCGTCACTGACTGACTGAATGTGCTCCAATGTTAAGCAGAGAGGAGTTGCAAAACAAAACAGGGCACTCTCTTTTAAAGGAGGAACTGAAAAATTCTAAACGAACGTGGGCATATAATAGTTGTGCTCCCACAAACATCTTACCTTTTACGCATTTGTTTGTTTTTATCACATATAAAAAAAGTAAAATGATAAAGGGAAAGATGTTTTAAGTTTTAGATAATTAAATTCTGAAATTTATGCTTTGAAATAAGTATTCATTTTAGAAATTGAACTTTGTCTCTGACAAATTTTAACTTATAAAAACACAAGAATTTTTCTGGTATACAGAGTATGGATAGTATGAATTTGTTTTTATAAGCTAAACTAGAAAAGAAAACATATACACAGCCAATGAAGTCTGCGTTCACCTCACAAATTTTGATATGTGATATAGAAACACAACATAAATATATATTTGAAATTAAAATTTTTGCATACATTTATTCTTTATGCTCTTAAATTTTGAAATAACGAGATAAAACTCACATAAAAAGTAAATATATACCAACTATAAATTCCACAGTTCCATTGAAAGCAATAATATATTCCACTAAGAGAGTGTTGCTCTAATTAAGTTAATAAAATTAACTCAAATAATATGCAATTCATAGTTTTGAATTGTTAGCGCACTTCCAACCTAACAAAGCCTACAATTTGATCCGAATTCTTTCAAATAAAAATAACAAGTTAGTTTAGCTGTACTCAAATATTTTTGTTTGAATATCAGCTTGACCATTGCAAGCGGGAATTCAATCTAAAAAATATGAATGTCAGAAAGCAGAATACCAGCCTTGAAAAGCTTCTTTCTCCTGCAGTTGCCCGAGATATCCCTGTGTCCAGACACGCATGTGAACTGGACACTGGCAGGCCTATCTAACTCGCTAAGAGAAGCCCTGCATTCTTTATGTAGCTATAACGCTTGCCAGAGATTTGATAGGATTTTGACTGTCTGAGAAGATTTTAATATTTACATTAGGGATCTTGTTATCTAGGACCTATTTTGCTGTGCAGTGAGTCGTCATTTGTTCTGTCGAAAAGACACTGCAATGTTTCTATAGTCGAAGCGAGATGTTAAGACCGAGCTTATAGAAAAATACGCCACTGCTGACACTTCGAATATATATTTTATAAACTATAACTTTCCATATACAGAAATCCTTTGCAGAAATGTAAGTATGCAATTCATCACATAATCCTTAATTTGATATATATTAAGATTTCTATTTATAAAAAAAATTAATGATGTATAAAATTAAACTTTATTACGTTAATAATGAAACAGCATTTCGTGTTCTAAATGAATAAAAGTTTATTGCACTTTTAAATATTTAATGTGTATATCCAAACACCTGCCGGATCAGTTGCTATACACGAGCACAAGTGCACACAATTTTTCTGGCTGTTTGGTTGAGTCACGTTCGTTCTGTAAAACTAAAATAAGTCATAAACATGAATTTTCCTTCTAATATATTTTCGATTGATTCATAGTAGCCCGTTTAGCGTTCTAGCTATGACTTTTACTAGGCAGACAAACAATTACGTCTATTCTTAACATAGCTTAAGTGTTTGCAATATTCAAATTTGCAGCATTTATTAACCATTCGCCTACATATACTTTCCAGATATGCGCCTTACATGTACTTTCGGCACATAGACATCAAATCTTTCCTGCTTCCATACAATTACTTGAGAAACAAAACAAATACCAAGTGAAAATGATTTACCTCTGCACAAGTTCAACCTCCTGTGACAGCCTAACATATATGCACATTATATACCTACAGTCATTCACGAATATCTCTTGTCGGTTTGTCTGTCAATAACTAAATTTATGGTGCATTTAAGAGTACTAACGTACGTGAGTGTGAAACATTTACGCGTGGACTCTTGCTATACTTTTTTATTCAGGCGTTATCAAACAATAATGGTGTGGTTCGATTACGTTACCCTCTTCTGTCGCGATTGAAGTTATTGGCATAATTATTATGCTGACTCTGAGATTCCAATTTGGCAGGGCACGAGTTCTATTCCTGGTAGTTGCAGTTTCAAAAAAATTTTTTTTTCGAATAATTAAATACAAAAATTATTTCCAAGACCACTGATGATGGGTATTTGGCAATACTCGAAACAGCTGTATGGTTAGCCAAAAATTTAATTAAATAAAATAATATAAAATGAATTTTTGTTGTTGTAGTTCACTCCTTTCGAAAAACCTCTACAATATTCATGACACATTTTTCAATCTATTCTAAGGGACAATTCTATATCCAATTCTATATTTTTTATATATTAACACAAAATATTTACAAAACTTAAAAACCCTAATTCATCAACTGTAAATAAGACGTGTATTAATCTAGGAATTATGGGTGCTATGGGTCAACACCTACACCGCAGTTGAAAAACTCTATTAAGAAAAAATTATGTACTTGGTTGGATAATAAGCAATACGACGTGTTATGTTCACTGCAACACAGCATAAATTTAAACGCAGTCGTCGCGGCGCATATTGTCTGCTGCCACAACCACTTCAGTGTGTATGATTTCAACTCACACCAGAGCAAGAAGTAGAACACCAAAAGAGAATGGACAAAAAGATTATTAACAAAAAGTTCATTCAAGATATATACAAAATTTTTATGGTCTTTTTTGTACTGTGCATTTGAATTCAGTTATTGTTACATACACTTATTATGTTGAAGAAATTATAAAATATATCAAATTTAAATGTTTATTTATCTATATTTTTTATAGAGTGCTTATGATGTTGTTACTGTACGCGTATTTATTTTGATTTTTCAAACTTACGCTGTCCGACTGGATACATTTTATTTATTTATTTATTATTTTTTATTGGACTTTTATTGTTGTTTACTACGTTTTTCGCTTAATTAAAATTTCAGCCTTTTTGCTATCACTTTTGAATTGAGGTCGTTTGGTTTCGATATTTTATGTATATTTATATTATTTTTTTATTTTATACTTTTAAGGATAAGGAAATTAATAAAATAAAATTTCCATATGAACTTTTTTCACAGAATTAGAACACAAATTATAGGCACAAATTGCAAAAATGTTACTTTATATTAATTTTATTATATATTTATATATAAATGTATATATAATTAGAATAATTCAAACTCCGAGAATCGCGTCTAGTTTAAATTTTGCTCCTTTGGCAGGCAGGGCTACACAGTATGTATATAAAGTGGGCGACCTTATTTTGGCTTCAATGTATAAAGAAAATGAGACTTCGGTGAACACGTTCAACGCAAATTCCACAATCACATTTTCTACTGCCTTAATTTTATAACCAAAACTTTTGCGCGCACCTTTATTATATTTTTTTAGTGTTTTTACTTAATTTACGTGGTTTTAAAATATATTTAGGAGCAACAAAATTTTACCACGATTCCCGATTCATTTCTTTCACGATTTCATTTTGCAAATTTTTCTTGTACTGCAAAGATGTAGTGTGAGCAAGAACTTGGCCAAGTCGCTATCGTTATCTCTTTTGTGCCTCTGTATTTTCAAGCGAAACAATGTTATTAGAATACAGAGCTACCAAAATTGTAATGTTGAAAATGCTTTATGGAAAAAAATGGCGTTGCTGATGGAAAGTGATGCCAAATTATTTATTTCATTGAAAATATTTATAAAAAATATTAAAATTATTCGGAAATTAATGTTAAGATTTTATGGTGTTAAAATATTTAAAATGTGCTGAATAATATGTATGTTGCTTCTAAAACCGTACATACATTAATAGTGTCAAAGGTTTTTTTTATTGAAATTGATGTACATTGAAGTAATAGGTTTCTTTTATAACTTTTCTGTTTTGTTTACTTTAATTGATTTTTGTTTACATTTCTTTGAACACATGAAATATTTAATTATTGCAGCAATATGCAACAAAAATATACAAACATATGTGCTTATATAAACAATGTGTTTCTCGTCTCGGGTTTCAATTTAAATAAACAAATCTCAATATTGGTTTATTACTATGATTAATAATTACGTTAGCTGTTTTGCAATAATTTTACAACTACAAAAAAAAAAAATTAGAAGTAAAATTTTATTTTTAATTTTATGCATAAAATAAACAAACCGAAAGTCATAAATGGTTTGCTGATCTTATTTTACGTATGTGTACAACTTTAAGTCTGAGTAATGTTTTTTGTGACAAAAAAAATATTTAGTGAAAAAATTGTTTAAAATTGTGAAAATTATACAATATTGCTTATTAATATGTAAATAATCAATAATTAAGTGATATTAATATTAAAATGTTGAGGTGACTTTATAATATATATTCCCATCATGAATTGATTAGTGAAACTAATTTTTTTTAATAGATCGTAATTCCGATTTAATAAGAAAGTAACATGATTATTTTTTCGCAAAATGTACTAATAATTGATTATATCGGTTCATAAATGTCTATATCAAAGTAGGTAAAATTATGTTTAACCAAAAAAATATATATACATTTTCCTAAATTTAATTTATTAATATGTAAATATTTTTAATTAAAGTGATATAAACGCTACATATGTGAAAAACTATTGCGGTACACAATCATTATAAATTTTGACACTTAGGGTCGATTTTATAGTTGTATTTCAAGTGTCACTAGTAATTTTACTGACTTAATTCATACTTGAGGTATTTTTTAAAACTATTTAAGTCTAGTCTACATAGTAAGATATCAACAAGCGATCTATTGTGAATTCCACAAGCAAAAACTAAAGCTTTGGTTGGTTTTTCGAAAATAATATAATAAAAAAATTATTAATTTAACTTATTTTATAAATTTTGAACACATACATAAAACTTGTCATGTGAAACCATATTACTGACAGGTTTGAAGTTATTCATCTTCGGAGAATAAGCCTTTTATTACTATTATAAATACTACAATATTAGTCAAACTAAATAACCTTTAAGCTTGTTTTTTTAAAAATTTTTATTAAAATTAATCATTTTAATACAAAAAAATAATAAACTTGAGTGCATTTAATAATTTACTAATGTAGCATGCGTACAAAGTTAATCAATAACTTAATTGGTGATTTCTAAACTGACATTTTGAAAGGCACTAGATATGTTTGGCATCACTGTTCATTACTGTTTTTGAGCGCCATCAAGCGGGAAAAATATCTACGAATTTAAAACGCAAAAAGAAATGTCAATAAATATTTTAATGCTTTTGCAACTGAGCGCACAGTTATAAAACAAGGAATTAAATTAAAACTTTTAAACTATTGGAATACATTTCAGAAAAATGTCTATATACTTCAGTGGATGTCGTACGCGCTCAAATGGTGTATTAGCAGCAATTGGTAAACAATTAAAAGGAGTCAATCTAAAAGGAGTGAAGAGAATAACAATAACATTCGACCCGTTCGCGGAAAATGTGAAGTCAACGAGGTAATTGAATGCATTGTTGTGTGTACCAGAATGTGTGTAGCAGGGGTGGATTGCAAAGGAAAATCCATTTGTTGTTAGTTTTTCTATGTTTTCTTTTCTGTGGCATTTCGAAACGTGCAATGCGCATGTTTCGTGAAAAACTTGTGGAAAAATTTTGGGCAAGTACGTATTTATAGTGCAGTTAAATTTAGTAAATTACGGAAATAAAATTAATTTTTGGTAAATGTAAAATAGACGTTAAAATATAATAATTAAATATATGCATTACTTACTGTACACTTTGCCGATAATTCCCACTGTTGTGTTAAGCTGTAGAGTCGTGCCGAAATCGTTAAATGTTAGTGGTAAATGGAGCTGAGCTGGTCCACCTGGAGCCAGCTCACGCTCCGTGGACATTTTCGTCGGTGTCGGCGTCAGTTTGATGCTTTATATTTGCCAAACAGTTTAAATAATTTTTACTGAAATTGATATAAAATGCTTAATAAAACATGTATATTATTATTGTATATTAAACAAAATAGTATAAACTTAAACGATTGATTAACATCTATCATTTATTGCAGAGAGCTGCTATTTCTACTAACAACACCTAAAGTACAAAAGACGAATCCTAATTGCCTTATTAAAAGTGACATTGTCTGCAATCGAGCACCATCGGAAGTCAAATTTTCGCTAATTGAATCTGCTCAAGGTAAGTCTTCAATAAGTCTAGCATTGTATTTCCGTAAAAGTTAATAAAACAAGTTCTCCTGTGTAGAATTGGCAAAAGTCAAGGAAGTGCGTTTCGTTAGTGATAATTTAAACACATTGGAGCTGCTGCAACTCTGTAACAAACATATAACACCATTAGCTCCTGTGGAGGACTTGGTTGTTAAAACTCTTACGAAAGCCGAAAAACAAAAACTGAGTAGTGCTGGAAAGAAAGGACAAAGGAGGAAATAAACAAATTCCATTACCGCAATCTATTATCTTTAACAATATGTCCAAAAAACACAAAGGTACTTTGGCAGTAATCGAACAGATCTATCAGGATATACCGGCCTTTACGGATATATTCACGGAAGAGTCGTTTTATACGTTTGCGTTTTGTTTTGTTTGCGGCACTATTCTAGTGGCCTTCATATTATCTAGATTTATAACAATAAAACCAGTTGACATATAAGTTGAAATCCCAAAGAAACACTAATTTAAATAACTACCAAAAAAATAAAATGAAATGATAACTGCTTAAAAAATTACTGTGTTTTTGTTTGTGTAAAATAAACTTGCTTTCGCCTTCTTCCTTATGCAATTATACGACGGCGGATATGTTTACTGCTTTATCACTCGAGGCGTACAATCAAGAAACCAGTTTATCATCCTATCCATGCAACTCAAAAAGCAGCGCAAGTAACAAGTAAATTAAAGAAAATCAACTAAAGTTGATAAAACCACAGAAGAGACATCCAAATTGTCATATTACAAAACACATTGAGAGATGACCTTTTTATTTTACCATAACTGGAAGAGAACACGAGACAAATTTCCAAAAACCAAAAAATAATGGAGTAAGTTTCGATATGATTAAATCAGCTTGCAAGGAACGTAATGGAATGTAGAAAAAAGTTGAAAAGATCTTTAGGAATATTTTTGTTTGCGTAAATTCAAATTATTTATACCAAATTCAATGTAGGATCTTCTTTAAATAACGTTAAGATATATCTTTTTTCATTAAACATGTCATACAAGAACAGTTCCAGAGTAAAATATCAATACTCTATACATTAATAGAATAAATAACGATCAAACTTAATATTCTATTATGTTCTTCACAAAATTTATGTACAAAGATCTTTGGAGTAAATGATCGAAAATACAAAATACAAAAAGACGGCTGAAGACGTTCAACTATCAGATTAGATATATTTGTGGATTACTATATTTCCTGAATGAAGTATGAATGCGGTTTTATATACTCAGCAATATACTAAAGTTACAGATTTCGTGGGATCCATATCCACTTAATTTTAATGATCAATTGTCGTTCACCACTCTATCTGCAGATAAACTGTTCGCTAGGAAGGAAAACCAAGTACATTTCCCTAAAAAAAATAATCAAAAACGTTATGAAGCTTATGAGACATAATTCGAGAATTTATGTATTTTAGAGTTAGTATGAATCTTTTAATCACAAAGAAAATATGAAACAGTTAACTGTTAACTGTTTCTTCAGTTAGATTTATATTGAAAGGTGGTGCACAAACCCCTTGAAGAATGGAGTAATTTCTTCAACAGATACAACAGATAGTGTTGTATGACACTAGTGCTTTATCTTTTTTTCGTAATGTTAAATTCATTTTAAGTATAGGGAGTATAGAATAGATATAAACAGGGTACTAACCATACTCTGCACAGAAGACAGGTATTTCTTAGATTAAGGGTCAAAATGACTCCAGTTCAATATTTATTAATATTTGTTGGAATAGTGACCAAAAAGCTTCCTCCTAGCCCAGAATAAGATAATCAAGTAAAATAGAACGAGATGTCTCATCTGCTTCCAAATGGTGCCGCCAATCTGTCTTCTCAAATAGAAATAGAACTATATTATTGAAATAATACCACAGGTTATCGTGGCCCGTCATATAACCTGTATTCAGTTCTGTTCTATTGAATTGGAACACCATACCATAATTGTAATAACCAACCAGCTGTTTAATCTGACAGTTATCCGGTGTGTTATGCTGAAAGGAATATCTTTTCGATATAAACCACCATTATATTTGAAATGTCCTTGTGAGAACGTTCGTAAACTAATTGACATTGATTCCTTTGTAACTAAGCAGCCAGCAAAATACAGCACTGGGATTTGCTTGCCTTTTGCTGCAGCATATCATAGAATTCTATCATAATTCTCGAAGAAAACTGTCAGTAGGACAATGTGATTGTTGCATGACTATCTGTGTAAATACATACTTAGGCAATTTCTAACTCTTTGATAGAAGAAAGTGGGCCGACAACAGCCAGCTTAAGCGAGATTCCGGTAGAAGTTTAGATTTCACAAATATAGTGAATTATAATATAATCAAAATCATTCTGAGTCCAAGCCATGCATGCTTTCTAACTACACAAAACCATAAGTTAATATTATGATGGAATAACTTCATTGTTTTTGAAATATTAGATTTTATGTAGCTATCTATATTTGGTATATATTTTTGCAGGGTTAATCCTGAGATTTTCCCAGATGCAAATATCGTTAAACAACATCGCAAAGCGTGCACTGGCAGCTGGTCTGTCAATCAATATCAACAAAACCAAGTCTATGCGTCTCAATTCAAACAACTCAACGAAGTTTCAAATAGATGACTCCTACATCGAAGATGTGCAAAGTTTCTGCTATCTGGGAAGCTACATTTCGAACAACGGCGGCAGTCGGCAAGACATACAGCACAGGCTATCGAAAGCAAAGCAAGCGTTTGGAACCCTTAACAAAATCTGGCGTTCATTCAACATCACACAACGCACTAAGATACACCTGTACAATGCAAACGTAAAATCAACTTTACTATATGGTAGTGAGAGTTGGAACCTAACGGCAAGAGACGCACAACAGCTACAAGCCTTTGTCAATCGCTGTCTACGACGCATCCTTCATGTATTCTGGCCAGCAACCATAACCAATAATGAGCTCGGGTTTAGAATGAATCAGCCCCTTATAACTGATGAAATAATGATGCGCAAATACAAATGGCTTGGCCATACGTTAAGAAAACCCTGATGATATCGCAAGAAATGTCTTAGATTTCAACCCTCAAGGCAGTAGAAGACCAGGGCGTCCGCGCAACACTTGGAAACGACAAACTGAAGCCGAATTAAGAAATGCTGGAAAGAGCTGGAGTGAAACTAAACGTCTTGCATTAGATAGAGTTCAATGGAAACTATTTGTTACGGCCCTCTGTTCCACCTATGAATAAAAGGATTAAATAAATAAAAAATCCTGAGATTAGATATCCATAACAATTTGTATAGTTATCAAGACAATTGCCAATAATCGTACATAATGGTAGAAATTCGTACAGATTATTTATAAGAATATGGATGGACAAGAGAAGTATATTCGAATGTATAAAATATACACTTTTTACAGTTTTGACTTGCTTTTATTTAATTTGAGAGCAAAATCTACAATTCACTGCAGTTTGAAAAGTTTTTATTGTTATTAAATTTTGCATCTGTGTTATTTTTTGTAATCTTGTAAGTTCTGATGATAAGTGCCTCGTTTTTCGAGTCAGCAGAGATACAAAAAACAAAAAAATTGCAAATTCAAGGAAAAATGAAAGGAAATATAAAATATTAGCAATTTTTGATTCTTAACATTTGTATAATTTTTTTTATCTGGGGATTTCCCTCATGTTTAAATTAAAATCAAATGAATTTATTAAATCAAAGTACTATCAAGTTTTTGATAGTAGTAATTTGTTGCATAATCGCTAAATTTATTATATTTTTTAATAAAAACAAGAATCTGAACATTTGCAGACTTGGCAGGAATACTCAAATCTGAATCGTTGCAGTTCTGATTTTCCTTAAAGTACTTAATTTGGGTGAAATACATTAACCAATGCAAGAGTTTTCCACACTAGACCATAATTTCAGACCTCAGATACATCAATAAATAATGATTGGGATTTCCTATGAGAATCTGTTAATTATTAGAGCAATTGCACCCAAGCTTGAAGCGAACTGAATCGATCGAGCTTTCAAATTTTTTTAAATAATGAAATCAATAGCTATTTCTTCATATTGTAGTATATAGATAATCAATTACTGTAATTTCGATAAACGTTCCTGGAAAGACTTTCTACGATTAGATTTTTTTTGTTGAGATAATCATTGGATTAGGATATGCTACCAACTTTGAAGATTTGATATATTCAATTATTTACTCCTAATGTCATATGACCAAAAATCGGTTATATAAAACGGTTAGTCAATTATATTAAACATTTCTGAACTCGATTGGTTGGTTGCAGTGGCATTTCATTAGATAACTTTCATGTACCGCAATCAGCGATTTTTCGCCGTTTTGCTACCATATTTCTCGCAAGAACCCTAGTATAGAAGTATAGACTTAATCCATTCCGCCGAATTTAAGTAATTGAATAGGTCTTTCATCTTCACCGATGAACAGTCTGATAAACTATCAAAGAAGTATCTTCCTAAGAACCTATATCTTCTGGACCCCAAAGCCGGGCATTCACAGAGAAAATGTATTATGGTTTCTTTCTCTTGCGGGTTTTCACAACTTCTGCAGTGAGGATTATGGGAAATGCGCAGTTTCTATGCATGAGTTCCTACACACCAATGACCAGTAAGAACTGCAGTAAGTCTTGCAGTATTCACGCGGTCTCTTTTGATGAGTTCCAAGGATTTATTTTATTTATAGGTGGGCCATGTTAACCTGGAAGTTGCACGTGACTTAAGTGCTTTTCATCTGTTATTGGCAATTTGCAGAAAGTAGAGTACTTTTCTTAATGGTCTCTAGGGTAATATAGACCGGTATTGGCTTATCGGTATTCTATTTAAATATTAATGAGCCCGGATTATCATATATGTAACATGTCGTAATATTAAAAATAATTTTTACAAAAATAATATCATATTGAAAACGAAAATGCCATATTTATAATGAAAATTAAGCAACAAAAATGTTTTTCAACACTTTATAATAAACTAAAGCAAGACAGTGTTTCATTGGTTACTCAAGGTTTGAAAATTTTTAATAGAACTGATAAAACTTCTTCTAAAGAGATACTCGTAGGTCGGTACTTTAAGTGAGCTCCCCCCAATACACTATTATCAATTATTCGAAGAGATTTTTGATTGCAGGATTATACATAAAAATTAAGATAAAGTTTGAGTATCTAGTCGAATGCAATAAAATAGTATTTAATATGGTTATATCTGCTAAATGTTTGTCTGACTCTTCATAAACTCGAACAATATCATAAAAGATATATAGGTGTCTTCATAAAGAAGATCAACATACTAGATCACAAAGAGCCACAATGGTGTAAGCCTAGCTTTAATACACATTGTGTATCTGGTATTACACAAGATTGTAACTATTGTAACAATAGTTCTATATTCTAAGAATTTAAAGTTATAGTTGTGAACTACCTTGAGTTAGAAGACATAGAAATAAAGAATAAAGTAATATATATATTAAAAGTTAATGTTCGAA